GTCCGTCTGTCAGTCTGTCATTCCGTCAGTCATTTTAGGCTTTATACATATAGACAGTGGTGGTCATGTCCGCTCTGATTCAGTATGCATGAAAGGATTTTTTAATTTTTCTTTCATATATGAAATAACCATAGATGTATGGTGTGTGTCGCGAACAAGACTGGTTTCTATGACTTAGATCCAGGTAATTGTGGGGGTTCAAACTTTGTCAATTTTGATATTAATATACATATAGGCAGATATGGTCGTGTCTGCTCTGAAAAATAATATGCATGAAAGGATTATATTTTTTATTTCACATATGAAATTATCATAAATGTATGATGTGTTGCCCTTAAGACCCGTGTTCCTACGCCTTAGTTTAAGGTCATGCTGGGGTTTAAACTTTTTCAATATTTTATGTTATATACATATAAATGGTGGTTGTTGTGTCCGCTCTGTAACTTCCGTATATACATGAAAGTTTCAATTTTTATTTAAAAATATAAAGTCACCATAGATGGACAATGTGTTGTGAACAAGACCTAGGTTTCTTTGTATAACTTATAGTTCACTGCTTGGGTTCAAACTTTGTCAATTTTTTACCACCACACTTAACATGTAATAGTTGGTTTAGAACTAGAATCCTTCAGGGGCATTTGTCACGTTCTGTGACAGCTCTTGTTTTTTCTCAGTTCTCATATCGTCATGGATCATTACATTATAAATGTAATAAAAATGTCTGATTTCCATAATTATAAATAACACGAATCGTTTTCTGGATTTGGCTGTATCATAATTCATAAAAGAAAATAGTATCGAATTTGCAGTTCAGTATCAAATATTACGTATACTCCGAAAGAGCATACAGTCAAACATTATTTTTACTTGACAAAAAAATTCTGACGTACTTTTATATCTATAAATTTACTTAATTTAGGCGGACTTTTACACTATACATTGGAATAAGTCAACAACTCCTAGTATTTACATTATACTATTTGCTTACATGTATATAGTTACTCAGTGTAAGTTTAGTTAGGTTAGACAGAAATACCTATCTGTTTTGTGTTATTATAATATAATAATAATAATAATAATAATAATAATAATAATAATTATCATTATTATTATTATTATTATTATTATTATTATTATGTTCAACGTCCTTGTCTAAAGACTGACTAAAAAGACCGTTAAAATTGCGATTGATTCTATACACCCTTATTTTAAGCGTAATATAAGAAGTAGATGAATATAACAAGCAAATTAGACATTTATTATTAAAAAATGAACAAAGTTACAGTATTTATAAAAGTAAAAATAAATACATTTAGTTAGGCAAAAAATAATATGCATGCACATTTTTATTTCAAAATATCCGAATTTAGAATATCCGAAACGAGCCCCATTTATCTTTTATATTAGTTTTGTGACACACTAGTCTAATTTTAACTAAACTATAATTTTGTTTACAATATATAAGAAATATATTGCTATCTTTATGAGTTTAATTCAGTCAAACACACAAATTTATTGGTCTTGTATGAAAATTGTCGTCAAATTTGTGATTTAATTGAATTAAGCAGGTGCTCTAATTATGACGTCATTATGTCGTCATAGTAACCAGAAATGCCTAATAAATGTCTATTTTGAAAATGTAACACATTGTACTATACACCTTTAGGTTTTTATCAATATCTAAGATGGGGCCATTTTTGGTGCTTAGTGAACCTTGCTACAATGTATTACATGAGCGTGAATATGTTGCAAAATACATTTTTTGTTGTTTATTACCGTATCTTGCGTACACTTTGATATAATTATCATTGCGTGATAATATTAGAAATAACTATTAATTACTATAACAATTTTATAACACTTTACCTGTTAAAGTACAATTTATTGATACGTTTAAGTGAAATGACTCCATGTGGCGATTAATGTAAAGCTATAAGTTACATTTTGACTTTATTATGCCAGGGTAGAGAGGCTTTAATATTTACAGTGTTAACAGTCATACTTTATAGCTTTTCGTTTAAAATTTCTTTTGTCTTGAAATGTTTTAAGTTTTAAATTGTGAAGAAGGAACATGATTCCGTATCATGGATACAAAACCATGATAGCCTTCAATGCATGTATTAATATAGTGTTAAGTGCGCTTGTTATACTGACATTCAAAAGTTTAAAGTTTATATGTGTTGGCTACTTAAAAGTTACTGTTTTTATTAACATTCTTCATTTTATGTTAGAGTTAGGTTCACCAGGTTAGGTTCACGTTACCGCACAAAAGGTAATTATCTTTTGATTACTTGTTCTGTTTTGGAACTCAAAAAATAAAACGACGTGCTATAATTTCTCCTTTTTACCGCTTAGTTAAGAAGTATTTTTGCATAGAGGTTATAAGTTCAGGTACAAGAATTTTCTTTTACATGGCCAAGTGGACCTAAACTGTGTGACGACATAAGAAATGTCAAAATAAAATTTTCATTGTCTTGTCACGTTTTTGTCTTAATATTATTATTCTGAAACAATAAATGATATAAAATCATGGTAATGGTCAATTTAATAACAATAATTAAGATCTCTCAATATGGGAAAATGACGTAACTCGATGGAATGCGTCAATTATAACCTTTTTGAAAATGTCGTATCTGTCGTATCTCAGAATCATGGATGAATTGTGCAAAACGTGTCTAAACAAAAGTCGTATATAGAATTGTTGTAAAAACATGCACATTAAAGTGATTTATAATATTTCATAATCACGACATTGTTTTAACAAACATTCTTGCCAAATTGTACCTTGTTGCAGCAGTTTTTAAAAAAGTAATTAAGTTTTTTACTCTTCCTGAAAAATAACGATTTTTGAATTACGACTTTTTCGCACGAAGCCGACGATATAAAGAAAGGCAATGACCCCCTGGGGCGGGGCCAATTTTGGCCCCAGAGCTTTTATTTGAACAAATTTGATAGACAGTCACTAGAAGATGTTTCATGTCAAATATTTCAGCTCTAGCTCTTTCGGTTTTTTAAAATAAGATATTTTAAGTTTTTTCTTTCGGTTGCCATTGCAACCAGAGTTCTGCATGAAATTAAATTCTTTGAACAATTTTAAAGGTGATTACCAATGGACCATTCCTGTGAAGGGCTAAGTTGTTTACGATGAGATGTCGTTTAAAGTAAAAGTTTACGGACGGCGGCCGGACGCCTGACGAAAAGTGATCACTTTGTGACAGGTGAGCTAAAAATGGATGGCACAGTTATATAACATGGCTATATGATGTTTGTTTGTTTGTTTAATTGGGTTCTACATCACACAGCACCGTTCCAGCTTTACTGGTGGAGGAAGACCTCAGATGCCCTTCCTTGCATTATTTCAGGCACAAACGGGCACCTGAGTAGAACCACAGACGTTCCGTAAGCTAGCTGGGTAGCTTCCTCAAATAAAAGAATCCAAAGTCCCTGTCGGTATTCGAACTCACAGCGATGAGAGGCAAGTGATTTAAAGTCAACGACCTTAACCACTTGCCCACGGGACAATGTCAAGTACATCATATTGATAAGTAAGGTAGTAGTTATGAGGCCATTATCACAGATAGAAACAGCTTTCCAGTTAAGGTTGACCATATCAATTTTCATAACTTTTAAAAAAGAGGGCCATGATGGCCCTGAAATTGCTCACCTTAATATTAAAAATCTCCATGACATGGAACAAGCAATATTGTAAATTATCAACAAAAGCTGACTTAAAATATAAAAGTTAATATTTGTATCTGAAATAGTGCATGTGTAAAAACATTACTGGTTTCTATCGCTAAGGGAAAACAACAGTTCCAAAAGATGTGTACATATAATCAAAATCAATGACCCTCAGGGCAGTTCCAATTTTGACCCCAGGGCTTTTATTTGAACAAACTTTATAGAAACCACTAAGAAGATTTTTCATGCTTAGTATCTAAGCTCTTAGCTATTTGTTTTTTCTTTTAAAGAACCCCTGGGGCAGGGCCAATTTTTACCCTAGGACTTATATTTCAACAAACTTGGTTAGGATGGTTCAACGTTTCAGGCTTAATATCTAAGCTCTAGCTAAAGAAGATTTTTCAAATTTTCACTAAATAAATATAAGGAAAATGAATGAACCCCCTGGGGCGCGGCCAATTTCAGCCCAAGGGCTTTTACTTGAACAAACTTGTTTATTACTTGTTATTTGAACAACCTAGATGATGTTCCATGCCAAATATCTAAGCTCTAGCTCTTTGGGTTTTTTAAAAGAAGATTCTTTAAGTTTTTTCTTTCAGTTGCCATGGCAACCAGAAATTCTTTGAATGATTTCTAAAGGTTACACCAAAAGAACATTCCTGTGAAGTTTGGATGAAATTGACTGAGCGGTTTATGAGGAAATGTTGTTTAAAGTAAAAGTTAACGGACAGATGACGTACGGACACCGGATGAATTGTTCACACAAAAGCTCATATCGCCACTTTTGGAAGCCATAGTTTGCCAGGTCATGTACTTTGTGTTAATTAATAAGTGTGTAAATTATAAAGCCATTGGTACAGATAAAACTTGCAACTGGTGTTTAATGTTAAGTTAACTTCGTACAGATGTTCCAATTAAATGGACTCAAAAGGAGCTATTTCTTTTGTTATCTTGTTTAGAAGGCCATGGCCCCTTATTCTGTTGTTACAGAATGAACTCTATAGTTCTCTTTTGTTCTGTTTACAGTTACATGGTCCCCTACTTCTCTTCAATAGCATAGACAGACAGACAGATGGAGGGACGGTTAATTACTATATGCCCAGGGGAATAAAAAGAACCTTTATATAATATTTTTTTAATCTTTTCGAAATGGACACCTCACCTTTTCCCTAAAGTAGAACTTTTAAGTTTGCGTAATATTATGTTCTTCACTAATGAAGACCCTCTATGCCTCATTTACAATCCTTTAAACACAGTATATTAGTTTCCTTCCAACAGATCAAGTAAACTTCAAAATATCAATATTTTTGGCAAATTACCTTTAATCTTTCTTTTCTGTTAGACCACTTTGTTAAATGACCAAATATCAGCCTTTTCACTCCTTTGCTCTGGAGATTTCCTGGGCTTGTTGTAATGAATTGTCCATTTCCTAGTGTTTTCATGCACCTATCTCTTATTTCTTTTTCCAAACCAGCACCACCTTCTTCCAAAACCATTTTTGACAAAGTACCTTGATCAAGGTTTAGGTCCTTAGAAGTCAATACAACTAGACATTGAGCCTGAAATATAAAATGTGAATTATAGTAAATTTTAAATGTAGGAGTATTTGTTTGTGTCAAGTATAAATTTGTGACACCAAAGAAAAGAAACTTTATCACGTTGATTTCTAATAATCAACTAATAATCAAAACATATCCAATATCTATTTAATCATTTACTTTACTATCAATGTAAATCAGTGTAAATAAATAAGTTTATCAAATGATTGCTTTACAGCAAATGATGTGATACAACTTATTTATTACAAGAGGGTCCAGAGGGTCCTGGATCGCTTACCTGAGAAATAGGTCAAATGGTCATAGTGGAGACCCTTTTCACCACAATTTGAAAAAAAAAATTTGTACACTGTCAACAAGGAAATTTTAGTGTTAAATCATTTCAAAATTGAACCAGGGGTTTAGAAGTTGTTTAGATTTGTTGTTTTTAGCTCTGGCGGTCATTTTATTAAACAGTTCAGTCTGTCACAAAGTGAAAGGTGAGCTATTAAAAAGATGACAGAAAAAGAGAAGAAAAACAAACATTTGACCTGACAACCGTGATCCCCTGGGGTGGGGTCAAGTTAAACCTAGGGGTTTTATTTGAACAAACATGGTGGACATACACTAAACATGTTTCATGTCAAACATCTAAACTCCACCTCTTTTGGATTTTCACAAGAGGATTTTTTCAGTTTTTACCATATACATATAAAGAAAATTAATGACCCCTGGGGCAGAGCCAATTTGACCTTAGGGCTTTTATTTGAACAACCTTGGTAGACATCCACTAGAAGATGTTTCATGCCAAATATCTAAGCTCTAGCTGTTTTGGTTTTTTTACAAGATTTTAGTAAAAAAATCTTTCAGTTGCCATGGAGTTCCTCATGGAATTTAATTATTTAAATAACTTTGGTAGAGCTTCATGCAAGAAATGTCCCTGTAAAGTTCAAAAAATTTGGCCAAGTGGTTTAGGAGGAGAAGTTGCAAATTGCAAATTTATACCACTGTATACCACTGTATGTCAAGGGCAATAACTCTAACAATAGATAAATACAGAATCCCTAAAGAAAGCCCAACACGGCAAAATTGAAAATGTTGCAGGCTCGGTTTGATTGAGCCTGTTCATGGACGGTACTGGAAAATGCAAGTTACCGTCCACGCCCCCTAGCACCGGCTTAAGCAGAATTCAACATTTAAACGTGAAATAGTAAAATTTTGAATTTAGAAACATCCGCAGATGTGTTCATACGGCGGTTATCATGGAACCTTCAATGTGACACAGTAGTGCCATTCCATGAAAAGCGGCGTATGGTCCCCAAGTAATAAAAAGCGTGTGCCCTAAACGAGAAAACAATGGGCGGAACTAAATAAAAATGGAATTTTGAAAGGGGATCAGAGGTTATGAAGCCTGCGTATCACAGATAAGACGTCAAAAGACAAATTTAAAAAGCAGGCAACATATCCTAAGGGTGATTCAACATTATTCAAGTAGGAATATTGGAACCACCCAACTAGAAAATGCCGAAAAAGTGAAACTAAAAATACCACAAGCACAACAATAATGTCGTGCTGAACGATCTTCAAGGATCGAAAATATAACATCATTGATAAAATGTACGGGGAGACTTTTTACAGCCGCCACACCTAAATATTCAAACGAAAATACCCAGGTGCACAACTACACATGCTGAGCAACATTCTTGTAAAGTTTCATGACTCTAGGTCAATTTTTTTTTGAGTTACATGCGAAGTTGAAAACTGCGAATTTTTTCTAAATCAAGGGCAATAGGTCTAAACAAGAGCCACTGGCGGCGGGGGCAATGCTCGACTTTTTACTTTTTCTAAAAGCAAACAAAGAAATGTTTGAACAAATCTTAACGTTTCCTTTTTATAGATTTAATCGGTCTGTCTTGTCACATTAGTTTTGTCAAAGTATGAATCATTTCCATATATATCTGCCTGTGTATTACAGAAGAAAAAAAAAGAAAAAGATATATATATATATATATATATACCCAGCAACGAGTACTGTTGACCTTGACCCAACTGACCCCTAACTCCATCCAAAGGAAGAATACCATGTAAGCTATCTTCCTACCAATTATAATACAAATCTGTCAATAGATAAAGGCTGTATGAGCAAAAGTGTAAAAAACTATTTTTAGCACTGGTGACCTTGACCCAACTGACCCCTACCTCCATCCAAATGAGAATACCTCAATTTTATGTTCCTACAAAATATACAAGACATCTGTCAATAGAATAAGGTTAATACACCTGTAAAAGTGTAAAAATCTATTTTTGGCATTGGTGACCTTGACCCAAATGACCCCTTACTAAAGGAAAAGGAAGAGGACCTCCCTTGGTATGACTATTATAAACATGAAAGACATTAACTTAAAAATAAAGGCTGTATGATCAGAAATGTTCAGATTTATTTTTTTAACAAGTGACCTTGACTTTGACCTAGAGACGCCTAACGCCACAAAAAATTAGAGGACCGTTAAAGGTATCCACCTACCAAATATGAAAGATATCATTAAATAAATTAAGTAATTAGGTGAAATTTTTTGATAAATCCAACTTGGCAGAATAGGTTAGCCATACAAGGCCCTATTTTCAAAGTGATAAAAAGGGAAATTACTGGGAAAATGGATGGCACATTTATATAACTTGGCAATATCATGTACATTGTATTGATAAGTAAGTGTGAAAATTATTGAGCCATTAGTTCAGATAAAACATAAGATATTTCCAACTTGCAAATGGATGCCATAGTTATGTAACTTGCCTAGATCATATACTTTGTATGGATTAGTATGTGTGTAAATTATGAAGCCATTGGTACAGGTAGAACTTAAGAAAAATCCAACTTGCCGTTAACCTCGTACTGACAGACGGACTGTCGGACGGTTCAATTACTATATGCCCGGGGGCATAAAAATTAATAAATAAGCAAAAATGTTGTATTCTTAAGGGTAATTTAATCTTGCGATGTTAAACAAAAGGCTGAGACATGATTAAATATTCGTACCAGCATTTGTCAATTGTTGTTTACTCTTATCCGATTCAGTGATTATCCGAATTCACTGACAGTTTCCATTAATTTTCAATACTTAATCACATGTCATTAAATTCATTAAAAAAGATTAAAAGATATTTCTATTGCATCATATCAAAACATTTATTGAACGTGACGAAAAACAATCAATTAAGCAATTACAGTAGATATCAAGGCAAGCATAGTGTAATTTTCACACCTTCGCAGATGATAGACGTTTCACCCATTAATCAAGCAAAATTACTCTTATCAGTTTGGTGCATGTTTACACCTTCAAGATGTGTGATTGTTTGTTATTTTGAATGTAGGTATGACATTTGGCAAAATCTGTTCGGATCCCAGAGGTTAATTTTAGAGTAAAACAAGAATGTCGAACGACACATATACCCCCCTTTCTAGCCATTGACTCACATAATTGGTAATTTTATTACAGAAACTTGCCGTAAATCGGTACATGGAAATGTTCAACTATGGAAAAATCAACGAAAACCATTTTGACATTTAAGGCCCATGTGACATTGACCTTTGACCTAATGACCCCTAAATCAATAGAGGTCATCTAATACTAATGACCAATTACAAGGTGAAATATGAAGACTTTGTGATTAATACTTTTCAAGATAATCAGCAGAAACCCTTTTAACATTTAAGGCCCCTGTGACCTTGACCTTTGACCTAGTGACCCCAAAATCAATAGGAGTAATTTACTAGTTATGACCAATCACTATGTGAAATATAAAGACTTTGTGATGAATACTTTTCAAGATAATCAGCGGAAACCATTTTCACATTTTAATGTCCCTGTGACTTTGACATTTGACCTAGTGATGACCAATCACTATGTGAAATATGAAGACTTTGTGATACATAGTTTTCAATATAATCAGCGGAAACCATTTTGACATTTAAATTTCCTGTGACCTTGACCTTTGACCTAGTGATCCCAAAATCAATAGGGGTCATCTACTAGTGATGACCAATCACTATGTGAAATATGAAGACTTTGTGATGAACACTTTTCAAGATAATCAGCGGAAACCCTTTGGACATTTAAGGCCCATGTGACATTGACCTTTGACCTTATGACCCCTAAATCAATAGAGGTCATCTACTACTAATGACCAATAGCTAGTAGAAATATGAAGACTTTGTGATGAATACTTTTCAAGATAATCAGCAGAAACCCTTTTAACATTTTAAGGCCCATGTGACCTTGACCTTTGACCTAGTGACCCCAAAATCATTAGGGGTCATCTACTAGTTAAGACCAATCACTATGTGAAATATGAAGACTTTGTGATACATACTTTTCAGGATAATCAGCGGTAACCATTTTCACTTTTTAAGGTCCCTGTGACCTTGACGTTTGACCTAGTGACCCCAAAATCAATAGGGGTCATCTACTAGTTATGACCAATCACTGTGTGAAATATGAAGACTTTGTGATACATACTTTTTAAGATAATCAGCGGAAACCATTTTGACATTTAAGGCCCCTGTGACCTTGACGTTTGACCTAGTGACCCCAAAATCAATAGGGGTCATCTACTAGTTATGACCAATCACTATGTGAAATATATAGACTTTGTGATAAATACTTTTCAAGATAATCAGCGGAAACCATGTGGTCTACCGACTGACAGACCGACAGACAGACCGACATTAGCGAAACAATATACCCCTTCATCTTCGAAGGGGGGCATAATAAGAACAACAAGAGCACCACTAGGGGGAGCATTATATGCCCGAAAGTGATATTTATTTAGTAAAGATGAAGCATTTGTAAGACATTGGAATAAAATAAAGTATTACCTCCTTCACATAACAATCTTCCTATGAAGTTTGAATATTGTGGTCCAAATGGAACTCAAGTTATATTCCGTAAACTGTTTTCAGTTTTAAGGTAGTAGTGACCTTGACCTTTGACCCAAAACCAATAGGGGTCTTCTACCCAATATGG